AACATAGTATTTAGGAATCTAATGAATCACACACAAAAGACGAGAACTAGAAGAATGAAACTAAAAATTAATAAATTGACCCATTCGTCAATTAATTAATTAGGTTAGTATACTGATGGACAAAGATTAATTAATTGAATTAATTAACTAATCAGTCGACTTAAATATAATCGATGGTCAAGCTCACTTAAATATCTATAAATAAACAATTAATATTTGAGTTTTTTACAAGAGCCCTACAACATATTCATTAATTTGCTAACATGAGAAGAGTAAAGAAGAGGTTAGACGATTGGAGAATTGTAATATAAAAAAATTGTGGTGGATCAAGATTCACAAATGAGATGAGAGATTGTGAATTTTCATGATCAAGTTTCTCACAAAAATTTGAAGAATTCGATAAAGATAAAATTCTAATAACGATTTCTCTCAAAACGATGATAATCCTTGAAAAAATTGAAAAATATTTTCATTCTGCATGTAAGAGTAAATTCCCCACAAGGTCTAAATAAATATTTAAATAAATTTTATTTTTCACTTTATTAAACTCATTTGATACGTTACTTCACACGTAACTTCTAAATGTTGAGTATTGAAGGCTTCTTATTCCTCGAATGTGACCTCAATTTTAATCTTGAATGCAAATGTGATGTCCAGAGTAATTGCTGACTTTATTATTTGTGTATGATATGACCTCTTCTACTCTCTACTGTTGTTATTAGGTTACGTCGTTGGAGGTAAATTTTACATCGAGATTTTCGTACGTGTTATGAACTATGATTGTTATAATCGATAAGGTTGAATTGGGTTATTTTATGACTTTGGAAAAAAAAAATTCTAATAATCAAATCAAATTTTCATCCGATGGTAAGGTGGACCTGGGAAGTGGACATCTTGAACTGAAGACCGTAGGGCAATGGTAACTCAAAAAAGGGGGCCATATATAGATATCGTGCGACATGGTTTGTGGACGGCTGGTGCTCTAGACCACTGTTTTTTATATGGACTAATGTCCCCTCACCGACACTTCCTACCAAGTAATAATGCAACCAAATTCCTCACGCGAAATGTGAGAAGTAATCTCTCAAGTTACGACAAAACGAGGGATCGCCATGGAAATTAACCTAAAAATTGGCTAATTTCTAATATCGTCCGCGATTTTGAGAACCATGCACGAAAAATACGGATGATTTGTAAACAAGGATCGAGTTTTATGATTTGTAACCGAGACGACCCTCTATCCTCAAAACCATAAATTCCACCGCAACAAAAAAATAAAAAAATTTGATTGTTCTAGTTGTTTATACGAGTTCTTATGTGTTCGTTGTTTCATTGAGGGATTAAGTTGCAAGAAAAGATCACACTATAATAGAGTTTATTTAATCAATGGTCATTAAACTTTACTATATAGGTTACTACTTGCTCAACAAAATTTAATTTTGTTATAGGTTACCACTTGCTCACTAAAATCTAAAAGGTTACTTGTTGCTTATTTAAATTTGAATAAATTTATCTATCAATCACATATGTCATTTCGATCGGTATTACTTATAACAAAATTCAGTGAATAACAAATGATCTTGTTCAAATTTAGATGGACAATGAGTAACTTTTTAAATTTCGATAAACAAGCAATAACCTAAAACAAAATTTAGTGAACAATAAGTAATTTTTTAAAGATTGATGAGCCACTAATAACCCATAGCAAAATTCAATGATGATTAAATTATCTCCATTGCAATACGCTGCAGTCACCCTCAACTTAGTCATCATTCTCAGGACAGCTGGACATGATTTTTTAAAATTCTGCATTTAATATTGAGGAATTACTTTTGAATATAACTGAGGCCTATTTATTTCAAAAAAAATACATTCTTAAATAATGATTTGATATTATTTCCACTATATATTTTTTAATAAAATAATATTACACGCAAATCAAATACTTTTTCTTATTTTTTAACTACATATTTCCCATCAATACGCTATTTAAGAATGCATTATTACTAAAACAATGTAGTTCAAACACTTCTGAATAAATTTTTTAAAGTGATTCATTTAACTAAAATAAAAAATTACATATCTCATTATAAAACTCTTTTATAAAAAGCAAAAACAAAATTCATGTCAAACAGCACTTAAGCCCTATATGATTCTTTTAATTTATTTTTAACCACACATTCATACAATAAAATATCTACGTATAAAGTCAGAACTTTTTTTTTTTTAACTTTTAATCACCCAATCTCCAAAATAAAATTACTATTCAAATTTATGCCACCAAATAGGGGCCAAGTATCAAGCCAAAAGAAGCTAAAGAAATACTTAAGGGGGTGTTTGGTAGACATTTTTGTGTAAAAATGTATTTTAGAATAGTAACTTGATGAGAAGTATGTGGTTGAAAAATAAGGAAATTTTTTTAATTTATGTGTAATATTATTTTAATAAAGAATGTGTGGTTGAAAAGAAGAGAGAAAAATGTATTTTGAAAAAAAGAGTACCAAACGGGGTATAAATTTTTTCTAAAAAAGGCCAAAATCTAATTAGATAATAACTCCTTTAATATTTAATTAGCAGCTGAAAATCCATGTAAATTACACATTTGCAGGGCAATGTATATTTTGAATTTGAAACAAAAACATAAAAGAAAAAAACAATAATTACAGTTACTTAGCCATGTTCTTCCTTAATCTTCTCAATTCGCTGAATTTGATTCAGGAGAAGAAGATGAACCAGAATTGGGACAAAACTCAAAGCTATTAGCATCCATTTTTTCCACCACAAAATGGCCCAAAAAATCTTTAGTCTCCAACAAATTTTCCCGGCAGAGAAATTCATCACTGCACAATTTCTCCACTTCTCTGTAAATTTCATGCACAAACACATGGGTATGGGCGGCGCCGCCCCTTTTACTTCTAGCCAAAACTCCGGCAGTAAATATCGCCGCCATCCTCCCAGGAGCCGCCGGAAAGTAGCCACGAGGACCATCTATCAGAATCACGTCCCATGCGACGTCGTATATGTGATTTGGCAAATCATTTATCGCCAATTTGCAATCTGAAAATAACAGATTCTGCACCGGGCGGCATTCATTTTTCATTTGTTCTTTGTAATGCTCTATTAGATCGTATAATTCTCTTACTTTGGTGGTGAACTGCACGTCGTAAGCTTCGATTCCCGGTTGCTTTTCTTCGAGCTTGGAGACTGAGTACGAGCTTTCATCAATAAAAACCGTATGGCCATTGTGGTTCAGAGAGTTCCAGAGAAGGGTTTCATGGGTGATCCCAAAAACAAGCAAGTTACAAGGCGCAGCACAGCGGCGGAGGACGGCGGCAACGTATTTCAGTTCAGCTGACGACATGCGGCCGGAGAAGGAAGTGGTGTTGGTGGAAGCATAGTGCACAAGCGCGTCAAAGATGGGCCTGGGTAGCACAGATTTGGTAGTGGTGGTTGCACCGGCGGAGGTTCTGACGGCGTCCCTGGTGGTTATGAGAGTGAAAGCGAAAGTAACAGTAAAAAAAAGCATAAAAGCCAGAAGCCAAGTACGGTGAAACAGTGGTGGAACTGCAGATCCACCACCTCCGCCGCTTGGCTTATGAATCGAAGGGTGGAGAACTATGAATTTCTCACTAGTTTTCATCGTACACTGTACTTTATAATTTCGCTTTCTTCTTCTGTTTCTCACATGGATGTGCAGAGAAAAACACAGTATTTGTACTATGCAATTGTGAACACGGTATTTTTTTAACTAATAAACGTTGGAATAATTTGAATTGGTCTTGAGGTACAATGATGGAGACAGTGGGCACCACTTTAATTACCACCCCGTTTGTTATCCATCATTTTAAGAATTAAAGAATTTTAAATAATATTTTTTGAAGATTGTGTGACTAAAAAGTAAATAAATTTTATTAATTTGTATGGAGAATGATATTGAATTAAACAATTTTAAATTTTAAAAATTGTCAAACGAGGATGAAATAAAAAAGAAATAAAAAAATCTATTACAATCATAGTCTCAAAACTTTTAAAAAGTTGCAAACGAGTTTTAAATAAATAATTAACAAATTAAAATTTAAAAAAAAAAAAAAAAAATCGACAGCGGGCAATGGCATCGCTGCTGGCTGTGCAGTGCGCCGCTGCTGTAAAAGGGAAGGGACGCCGGCCACCCGTTTTGTTAGGCGGGCGTCGCCCAATGGAAAGAGAAGAGAAAACTTTTTTTAGGGTTTTCTGTTTTTGAGTTGATTTTTGGGGGCAGGGGCTTCCTCTGTAAATTAGGAAATTTGAGGCCCCTGTTTGCAATTAGGGTTAGAGTTATAAAATTAAGGTTTCAGTCCCTAACCTTTAAGTTATATTAAGATTTGTGCATTTAAGTTTTGGATTTAATAATTCAGTCCCTAAGGTTTAAAATTAATTAATTAGGGCCATTAAAGTCCTGAATTTTATAATTAAAGTCCTCAAACTTTAATTATTAATTCAAATTGGTCCCCCAAAGTTTATAATTATTTCAAATTAACCCCTAAAGTTTCAAATTTTCAAAATTTGATCCCTAAAGTTTTGAATTGGCCAATTTTGGCCCCTAAAGTTTTAAAATTTGTTCTAATTGATCCTCTAAAGTATTGAATTAATTAATTATGGTCCCTAAAGTTTCAAGTTTATTGATTTCAACCCCTAAAATTTGGAATTAATTAATTTTGCACCCTTAAAGTTTGAATTATTAATCCTAAGGCCCCTAAAGCTTAAAACTAATCAAAATGTGCAAAATTGGTGATTTTCCTTTTCAAATTTTGGTATTAAGGACTCTTTTAAGAGATATAATATTCGAAAATTGGTTAATTGAAACAACATGTTGTCAAAGCAACCTCTCTTGTGAAAATTGACTAACTCAGAATATTAAAAGGTGTTTATGCATGTGTTATTCATGGGAATATTGGTCGGCCCAAAGGAAGGTCAATATTTAGCCGAATGCAAGTGCACCTGTGATGATAAACGTATGACGATTGTTTAGTTTAATGTGTGATCAATAAATCGATCCAAAGAAAGATTTGTTGATTGACACGTTGTTTTATCGTCAATGTTTGATCATTACGCCAAGAGTACCGCTTATAAGTCAATATCTCTGTCCAAAGATTAGATATTGATGTTGTGCTTGGTATCTTGTGATGGGTCCTACCACTATTTGAGATTATTATTATTTGCATATTAAAGATATTCATGTGAGCTATTCATAATAAACGTTATCTAATTCAGTTTCAGGTTCTGCTGTTAATATCTCTGCTAGCATCAATTCAATTCCAATGCTTAATCACACAAATTTCAGGGCAGTCCATTAAATGTCAAAATAGTCTCACAATAAACTAAAGATAGTCCTGGATGACATACAGGGACGGACCAAGGATTATGATCCAATGTGGGCGAGAAAAAATTACGTAAAAAAGAATTTCAAGTTAGAAATAACGATAATAATCAAACCGTAGAACATTTTTACAATTGTTCCTTACGGCTTCTCATACTTTGAAAACGCCGTATAGTAGTCTTGTTATTGATTTCGTTAAATACATCTTTTTCCACATACACAACTAAGCTATCATTCATCCACTGATCTCCAATTTGATTTCGCAGTCGATTCTTCACAATGTTCATAGCCGAAAATACTCTTTCAACTGAAGCAGTAGCAACTGAAAAGTTAATCTTAAAGTCACAAGCATGTAAACTAATGGATACACTTTTTTTCTTTTGGTCTCAACCAACCTCAATGCAAGTTCACTAAGTCCTTTCAGTTCTCTGAACTCCTTGTTAGAGCGCATATCAACAATATAGTTTCAAAGCTGATCATCAAGTGTCATGAGCTGTACCTTTGAAAAATCTTTAGGATAATACTTAGCAAGACGAATTAATTTATCCTTGTCAAAAGCAGAGAATGAATCATCAGGGCATAAACATGCTAAACAAAGAAGTAACTCTGTACTTACCTCAGAAAAATGAGCATTCAATTCTTGAAGTTGCATATCAATGACAGAATAAAATAAATCCACACGAAAGCGATGAAAATTTGTCATTTCTTCAGTATTACGCCATGAGCAACCTGGGCGTACAAACACACTATCCATATCAGGAACATCAATATTATGCTTTTGACAAAAAGAAGCGACTTCATCCAAAAAAGAATCCCACTCATTGTCCCTCATTTCTTGGAGTCTTTGTTTGCATACTGTCACTAAACTCATGGCATTTACAATATCCTGATCTTTTCTTTGTAATGCCGTAGACAATTCAATGGAAATTCCTAAGATAGTTCTCAATGAGGTGTAAATTAAACACAAACTCAAATGACTGCATTGAGTCCAATAAATTATCAGCATCACATCTTTGTTCACATGTTGATCCATCAATTGAAATCATTTCAATGACATTAATTATAGTTGAGAACATCAAAATCAAACTAACCAAAGTACGATAATATGATCCCCAACATGTATCACCAAAACGTGCAATAGTGCTTTGTTGATTAAGACCTCGCCCACTTGAAATCTCATCATTAATGAGTGCTTCAAAAATTATGGCTTCTTGTTTCTCTCGGAGAATATCACAACGTTTAGAAGAAGCTCCAACAATATTCACCATGCTAGAAACCAAATTAAAGAGTTTTTGGACTTTCTTATTCTTCTTTGCTATAGCTACAAGAGCTAATTGAAGTTGATGAGCAAAACAACGAACATAAAAGGCACTTGGATTCTCTTACAAAATAAGTGTTTTGAGACCTTTGAACTCACCCCATCATAACCTTGACCTCGCAATCTGGATATACTCAACCCATATCTTGAAAATAATTTATCTATAGCTGCTTTAAGTGATAGACCTGTAGTACTGGGAACATGCTCAATCCCAATAAAACGTTCAACCACATGTCCCGTCTTATCAACATAACGTAAAACAACGGACATTTGCTCATTCACTGAGATATCTTGATATTCATCAACTAAAATTGAAAAGAATGTATCATCAATATCTTTGATGATAACATCAATCGTTTCAACAGCTCCAGCACTTACAGTATCTTTCTGAATTTTTGGTGATGTTAGTTTGTGACTTTTTGGAGCATTTTTCGAAGTGACAGCTTTAATCCTTTCATTATGATCAGCTAGAAACTTCAACTGTTCAAGAAAGTTACCTTGATTATTTGACTCTTCATGACCACAAAAAGCTAGTCCTTGACGTAAAAGAAGTCATATACAATCAATTGATGCATTCAAACGAATTCGATATACACTCCGTGCTCGTTTTGACTGCTTGAATAAAACTGTCTCAATATGTTGCTCTTGATTCATCAAGGCTTCACAGTTTCTTCGGGCTTGATTATGTGAACTATGGACATCTCCTACATGAACTCCATGTCTATCCTTCTTTTTAAATTTATGGAACCCTTCTTTTACAAAAGCATCACCATCTCATTGTTCCCCATTGTTTGGTCCGAAAAGATAACAGTAGAAGCAAAATGCAACATTTTTACTTATACTATATTCTAACCAATCAGGACATTCATTGAACTAAGCAGGAATGAATCACCTTGATTTTTTACGTGGAAACACGTGACTCCGAGGTTGACACGAACCTCTCTGCAAGTATACTCTTCTTATTTGATCTCGCAAATTAACATTATAATCCAATATTGGAGTTCTTAATCCAGGATCTGTGGGAAGTTGTGCAACATCAGTATGCTCAATACTTGCTTTCTTTACCTCATCATTTTCTTGATAATTAGTGTCATCAATACTTGCTTCCTTTGCTTCACCGTTTTCTCCAACAGTAGCATCCTTACCACTGGCTTCCTTTGCCTTGACATTTTCTTCAATAGAAATTTCCTCAATGCGTTGTTTCTTTGCCTCAACATTTTCCTCGGTAGATATTTGAGATACCCTTTTAAAATATCTCAACATATCTTCCTATCTTACAAGCCAAACAAAGCTTGCATAAATATACCAACAGTGAAATGAAAGTTAAGAGATGAACTCCGAATCTAAAATTGATGAACTAAAATGACCTTGATCTCAATGTTTCTCGAGTATTATAAATGAAATACAAATACTCAAATTGATACTTGGATATCAAATATAAACAACTAAAACCCAAGAGGCCTATATCCTAATGTAATTTTTTTTTACAGGTTCCGATAAAATTACATAAAATGGGTAACAATCAACATTTGAGAATCCAAGTCCAACAACTGAGCCACTACAATCCAAATTCAACACATTTTCAATTTCGCCCCTGATCCAAATTCCAAGACAGGAAACTCAGGAAGTAATTAAGTAAATATAAGTTATCTAACAATTTACAATTCAAGACATTTTCAATTCATATTGCTAAAATATCAATTCATTTCATTCACCGTCATTGATTCACGGCTGCTAGCTTCATATATCTTTTTTAATTCGACCACAATATCTAAACTTGCTATTTGCATAAATAACTATCAAAAACATAAATAATAAGATTAAGACCGAGAAATTGATTACCAAATTTTGTTTCTTCAATCTATTCGCACCGTCAGTCCTCCGTCACACTGGCACACTCTCGCTACCTCTCACTGGTTTTGGTCCATAGGGTTTGGGAATTATGGACCTTATTTTCAATGTTAAAAACTTATAGATTGTTGGGCTTGGGTTAAAAATCATTGACTTCTATTAATCTATTGTATAGGCCTTTTTGAATGTCAAAAAAATTTAGGGTCCAGTGGGGGTAATTGGTCCGCCCCTGATGATATATAATTAGCAAAAGCACGATGCAATTGATATTAAATTTTGCCAACATTATGTTTACTTAGTTTCTCACAACTTATGTCTATTGCATGTTCATGGTTGCAATACATGTGGCGATGGATTTCGTACGGCCAAGGAAACTCCTTACAAGATAAAGGTCAATCCAGTGGTGCCAGTAGCAAACGTGAATCAAGATGCAATTGTTTGGGGACATCTAATCCTAAGCACACAATTGATGAAAGGAGATACAAAAGAAGAGGACGTGGAGATATTCCTCAAAATAACCATCCGAAAGGAAAAAGGAGATAAGAAAGAGAATGGAAAACGAAAGGGAAGGGATTCGTGAATATATTTACTTATGTAATTGATTAAAAGTCACGGGGGTTTAATTTCATGTTTATTTACTAGGAACAATCTCCATTGAATGTCTGCATTAGTTTGGTTGCACCTAAGAAAGTTACCTTCGAGAATAACCCAAGCTTTGTGATTGGAGATCTCACGAAAAATATTAGATGTGGTAGAAACAATTCGTACTGTGTGACTTGTGATAACACTATTTCATTTGTACTCATTTCTATAGTGATATAGTGCTAATAAATATGTTAAGTAGGGTTTAACCCTGAATGAGTATCAAGACGAGAATGTTCGCGAGGTGTGGGTCATAGGCACTCTTGGAGGATTAACCTATGTAAGAGTTGCTATGAAATCATGGTTATGAAATTAAGCTATTCTCTAGAGACTCTTAATAGAATCAAAANGTGATTTCATTGTTAGATGCATCATAAAAAGATACAACTTGAAAATATAAATACTCCCTTTATATTTCATACTACATTTCTATGGTTTTGACAACTCAATGAGAGACTCGTTCTTTATTTTCCTATGATCATGCCCATAAAAGGAGAATCGACGATGAGCCACATATATTTTATCTTGGAGTCATATAGTACCAAAAGTACCCACACGAAGGGAAAACAACACGATTTTAGAATAGCGTTTTCAATATGACTCCCAAAGCTTGCATTCTAACTCTCTTCTTATTGTTGAATTATAATGTTATCATATGATTATGTTTATGCAATTATTGAATTATATTATTTATATTTATTTACACACAAATCACCAATTTTTTCCAACACAAAACCCATTACCTTCTCCCTTGTAGCACTTTGGTCGATGGTCTGGCTACTGGTTCGACCCTTCCCTGGTGCTTCCTCTCCCTGCCTCATTGCTGCCTTCCCTGTCGCCTCTATGCGCGATTGCTCTGCATGTCAGTGGCTGATTCCTTTTGAGGCCTTGAGTGTGATTTTTGGTTCCTTTTAGTGTTATTGCTTTGTGTGGTTTTAGCTTGCAAATCTGAGTATTGTATACTCCACTTTTGGTGCCAATTTTGTGAAATCGATAGGGAAGTGTTTGGTTTTATTCGTAGCTTATTATTCTATTATTATTAATTGATTTTGAACTAACTTTATGTTGTCTGATATATTGAATGTATTACTTAACTCCACAAACTCGTATCAGAGCCTATTGAGGCTTTTATAGTTGCTAATTTTTCGATCTGAGTGACTAATAATCAATATGCTATTCATCTGTGTAAAAATCATGTGTTTCATGAAATCACTAAACATATAAATGTTAGACTACATTTTATTAAAGATGTAGTGTCTCAATAATTGATGATATTTGAGAAAGTTCATTTAGATTACCTTGCAAATATGAGCACTAAGGGTGCTCCATCTGGTAAAATTTAGAAATCGTCTTATACTTCTAAACATTGGTGAAGATATGTGATGTTTGAATTTTATTTGAAATCATGTTGTGCAACTACTAAACATTTTTTTCTCCCTTTTTGCGGGTGTATTTAACATTAAAGTGGAGATTTGTTAGGTATTTTGATACCAAATAGGAACTTGGGGTTACAATGAATTGTTGGATCGGATTCAATTTATATGGTTTCATTTGGAACACATTATTGAGACTATTTTAATAGTCGGTCCAAAACATGCAACTAGTAGTCCACGAAGTGAAGCTTGATCGAGTTTCCTATTTTTGAGTATTAAGCACGATTGAATCTTTAGCCCCCATGTGAGAGAACAGAGGCTGCTCGTGCTCCTCCTCCCTACTTTCGGTCCCTTTGTGCGAGATCCCATTACCTTCCCCTTTGTCAGCACCGGAGGTTTGGCACTAGTTCGAACCTTCCCTGCCGCCACCTCCCTGCCTCGCTACCTCCTCTGTACGCGGTTGCTCTGTGTGACCTGTGGCTGCTTCCTCGAGGCTCTTAGTGCGATTCTTGGTTCTTTTTAGTGGTGCTACTTTGTGTAGTTTTTGGTCACAAATCTGAGCCCTGTATACTCACTTTTGGTGTCAATCTTTGTGAAATCGATAGGGAAGTGCTTGGTTTGTTGGATATTGGTTAAATAAATCGAGAATTGAAAATCGATTAAAGTGACTTCGTATCGACTTCGGCCAAATACTCAAAAACTCGACTCAATCCGTTTAGGCAAAATTGTTTGCCACTTCTCCGCTTCGGGGCGCACAAACGGGGATCGAAGGGTATATTTGGCATTTCGAAAACCAATATCGGATGAATGAGAAATTACGAAAAATGACAAAAATTAGTGAATAGACACCTTTTCATAAAGGTGCATTGTTTGGAAAGGGTGCATGGTTTGACCTTAACCATTAGTGAATAGACACCTTTTCATAAAGGTGCATTGTTTGGAAAGGGTGCATGGTTTGGCCTCAACCATTTCGTCCACACCCTTCCATGGTCTATAAATAGGACCCTTTGGGTGTCCTATTCCTCACAATTTTGATATGCAAAAACGTCTCTCATCCTCTCCTCCATCCAAAATCAAAATCATTTCATTTATTTTGATTTTCCTTCATCCTTGGAGTACATAAGCTTAAATTTGGTTCGTTGTACTTGTGTTTTGGAGTGCTACAAACACAAGTGTAGCCGTTGTATCTTGAGAGTCGATTGCCGAAATCCGTAGGCACTGTTGCGGGGCAAATTCGACTTAAGGACAAAGAGTCCAACTCTTGCCTCGGCTTTGTCCCTAACCATCATTATACTTATTTTGGCGTCACTATTCACAAAATTCTTCCAACAATCTTAAGTCGAATTTTTCTATAAATTTTGTGAAAGTGACATTCTTGTTTGGTTAAACTTGTTAAGTTTAACTTCTTCTTCACTTCTAGTTTTGGTTGATCTTCTGTTTTACGTAAACAGAAATGAATATGGTTCTTAATACCGATACTAGTTTGAATGAAACTTCGAACATGGGAACTTCTGAAGGAAGTGTTCCTACCGGTGTGATTCCTCCCGTTCTGAATACAACTACTACTAATGTGATTCCTCCGGTTGTGGGTGCCCCTACTATCGTACATTCAAACTCCGTTTCACATGGGGAAAAGTCGGATAAATTTGTTGGGGTTGATTTCAAAAGGTGGCAACAGAAAATGTTGTTTTATCTCACAACCCTCAACTTGACGAAATTCTTGAATAAAGATCCTCCCGCCATACAAGAAGGGGAAAACAATAGGGCATCTTTGATTGCTTTGGATGCATGAAAACATTCGGACTTTTTATGCAAGAATTACATTCTTAATGGCTTGGACAACTCCTTATACGGTGTATATTGCTACAAGAAATCTGCAAAGGAACTATGGGAGTCCTTGGAAAAGAAGTACAAGACCGAAGATGCCGGAACCAAGAAGTTCATTGTGGGAAAA